ACGGTGTCCTGCATTTTATTGTTACATTTGTCTCTAGGTGTTTTAGGACTTGATCCATTGCAAATGACTTTCAAATTATGTTTTTTCCCAACTTCTTATATTTTATGTATGAGAAAGCCATTGATTGTTGCATATTACTTAAAACTGATTATATACCTCTGTGTATTTATTGTTTTAATACTTTTCTGTTACTTTGGCTTTCTCCGGGAATACAACCTTATTATCTATAAATTAGAATGGTCCCATTTCTTCACATATTCTCAACAGCTTTTTAATGCTCTTGTCTAATTGCTTCCCTCGCCGCTTTATTTTACAATGGTGGCAAGAAGCCTTCTTAAACTGTTTCTAATGGGATGCCTCTAGTATTTTTACAATTAATTATGAAGGTAATTTTTGGATGGAAATGTGTATTTTTTTTTAAAAAATCCTGTAAAGAGGTAACCACCCATTTGCAAGCATCAGAAGTGGATATTAAATTTCTTATTACATGTCTTTATGGCCTATAAAAAGACTTAATGGTGTGGCTTGCCTTTCTTCCCACCAAGGAACGCCACGAAGGTGTTTTCAGCTTCTAGACTGGAGCTCTTGCAGGTTGCGAGTCTGAACTCATCATCACCATCATCATCCATCTGGGTGTGAACTGGCTTCTAGCTGCCAGCACTTCACGTGGGCATTTGCATAAACCTTTTCTGTCTGTAATTACCTTTTCCTGGGACCTGGCAGGCGCTGGCATCTGGTTTGCACTGACATCATAGAAACAGTCAAGAGCCTTTTGTCTTTCTCATCTCCCTGGGTCTGCTTCCATTCCTGTGGTACAGGAGTGACCAGTGCCTTGAAGACTCCAGGAAATAAGACTCTGGAAAGCTCTGGCACATTCTCTGCCGGGAGGGACTATAAGGCATCTCAGCCTCACTGCTGGTGAATGAAATGCAAATACCTGGTTAGGTCCAACCGTTCAGTCCCTGCTGTGTCTCTGCTTCAGAAGGCATCATCTCCTGGAGGAGTGGGGGAGATGGAGGAGCCTCACTGAACCGAAGACCTCTTGGGACGTAGGACTTCTGGCCAGGTGGTCTGGGCAGAACTGATTGCTGGGAGAAGAGGCTCTTCCTTCGAGGGGCTGTCTGCAAACTGTAGGAAAAAGGGACCAGTCAAAGAAACACACCCTGAGCAGAGCCAAAGAAACACTTTGTCTCTGGAATCAGAACCAGTGAAAGAAATGCACCCTGGCCCTAAAATTGGAGCCAAAAGGCTAAAAAGGACCAGAGAAAGAAACACACTTTGACCCTGAAACCAGAGCCAAATCTGACCCTAATCCTGTGCAGAAAACTAGCCAATCCTTGGGTAGGAGCTCTAACCAATCTGAGCTCAGCATTGAAATCAGACCAATCCCTATCCTGAAAAAACTTCCCCACCCCCAAGAATCCCTATATAAACCCTGTGTATGTTGAGCTTGGCTGGTCCAGCTGCTTCCTTCCAATAAACCCCTTAGATGAGCATTGGGTGAAGATCTTCTTTTGCAGTGGTGGTGGCGGAGCAGAGATGACCCTGGACAGAGCAGAGAGCACAGGGCTGTAACACTTTTGCTGGGAAAATCTTCCCTGGGCAGAGTAGAGTTGTTACACTCCCTCTCTATTCTCCAGAGCAGAGCTGAACTGTAGCAGCTTCTCCCAGGAAACCTTCTCCTGCAGAGCAAAACTGCTACACTGGGCAAACATCCCCAGCTGGAAGACTCTCTCCTGCGGGAGCAGAGCCAATACACTGGGGAAGCCTTTCCCTGAGGCAGGGCTGTAAGGTGCTATGCTTACTGTGGCCTGTGGTAGTCCTTGGCTCCGGAGCTCCAGGATACCTTTCCATCTGAGCTGTGTAACATTCAGTATTCTGTGACTCCCGAGTGCCAGAATACCTGTCCTATCCTGATCCACCTGAAACGTTTACACAAACCACACAGGAAACTCCAGGGAAGCAGCATCCTTGAGTTTTCACATGCTGGGGGGGGGGCGGGTTTGGAGGTGGACACATGTTCCCTAGTCACCCACTGCTCCTCGGTAAGCTCAATTGTTCACCAAGCCAGACGCAGGTGGCCTCTCCTTGGTATTTCCCTGCCCTCTCTGTATCTGGGGAGAGCAGAGGGCTCACAGCTCGCCCTCTCCACGGCACGCACAAGCATACCAGAGCTACAGTTCTCATCATCACGCCCATTGTGTTGGTTAACAGCTCAGAAATGACCAGAGTGTTCTTTAGTGGTGGAGGGGATGAGGTGATGGTCCATGCAGCTCCGTACTTACAGCCTTTTTAATTAGTTCCATCCTGCAGAGCCTAGTCTATTCCAGCCATTAACTTGACACAGCCTAGGGTTATCTGAGGGAGACTTCACAACGGAATTGCCTTGATTGGATTAGCTTGCTGACGCGTCCAGGAAACATTTTCTTGATTGGCAATTGACATAGGAGGGCCCAGAACATTGTGGGTGGTACATGCCCAGACAGACAGTCCTGGGCTGTGTAAAACAAACAAACAACAAACAAACAAACAAACGGTAGAACATGCGTGTGGGAATAAGCCAGTCAGCAGTGATCCTCCATGGTTTCTGATTCAAGCACTGCCTTAGCTTCTCTTGTTGACGGACTGTGAATCACGTAATGCTTCCCCCCCCCCCCCCCCGCCCCAAGTCCTCTGTTCATGGTGTCTATTCCAGCAGCAGATGGCAAGCTAGAACTCCTCCTCAACCTGGGAAATTCCTAACAACTTGATGCCGACGTGATGATGAGAAAGGGAGTGATGGCTCAGCCTGAGAAATGTCTCACCAGGCAGAGCTGCTTGCTGCCAAGCCCGAGGACCTGAGTTCAATCCCCAGAACCCGCGTGGTGTGAAGACTCCTGCAAGCTGTCCTCTGTGCTCCCTCCACACGTGCTCCACTGCAGGAGTCCCCACCTTCCATGCACACAGAGATAAATGGATACATGCAATAAAAGTTTTCAAAACAATGTGAATGTGGGCGTTCTCATCATGAGAGGATGAGAACTTTAGGAACCAAAGCGTCACTAATCTTATGCACATAGGTGACCAGAAGGACCATGGAAAGATGCTCACTGCCTTCAAGGATCAGCATCCACAAACACAGAGGTGGGGCAAGGGGGAGAAAGGGAAACAGAGTGATATTCACCAGATATGGCGCTCTGAACTGTCCCCATAGGGCTTTTATGTTTGGATACTTGGTTCCAGTTGGTGGAACCGCTTGAGAAGGATTAGGAGGCGTGGCCCTGTTGGAGGTGGTGTGTCCACTGGGGGTGGTGTGTCTTTGAGGTTTCCAAAGCCTAAGCCATTCACAGTGAGCACTCCATGGCTCCCCCACTCCCATGGCTCCTGCTTAGAGGTGATAATGCAAGCTCTCCACTGATGCTCCAGCACCATGGCTGCCTGACTGCTGCCATGTTACCCACCACCATGGTCATGGACACACCATGTCAAACTCTAAACCCCCAATAAATGCTTTCTTCTATAAGTTACCTTGATCGTGGTGTCTTTTCACAGTAATTAGAAAGTAACTAAGGCTGGGCAATGCACTCAGGGGGGCATAGGCAGGTGGATCTCTGTGAGTTTGAGGCCAGCCTGCTCTACAGAGTGAATTCCAGGACATGCAAGGATATACAGAGAAACTCTGTCTAGAAAAAGGAGGGAGGGAGAGAGGGAGGGAGGGAGGGTGGAAGAGGGCAAAGTGGCCTGCTGTAAATACTGGGAGTGTGAGGTGCTTTAAATCCCTAGGATGCAGGCATTCTATTTCTTCAGCCAACTACTTACCAATCTTCAGTCTGGCCTAACCTTTATCTGGGTCCTCAGTCAAGTTTTTTACTGCTTTTCTACCATGCCTATTATCCTTAGTAGTGGAAGCAGATGTTACACATCATGGATGTTGGACACGGCACATCATGAGTGGTGGATGTTGCACATCATGGATGGTGGATGTTGCACGTCAAGAATTGCTGTTATTGGGTTCCTTGCCTCAGGCAGCACAGTGCCTGGCACACAGCGGGTGGTTAGTCATGCTGGAATGCATGTGGAGGGTTCCCATCTGAAGGGCGCAATGACATGCTTGTCACCCAACTCAAGGAGCTCACGTTTACATGTTGAGTTTTGGATTTCTCTTAGCTGTGGTTCTGGACTGGGGCAATGCTGTATTCTGGGGATATTTGGGGACATTTTGCTACCATACCTGGGCTTAGACATGGATAGAGCAGGGAGGTTGCTGGTTGGTTTGCAAGACACAGAGCAGCCTCCCTCCTCTAGTGGGGAATCATCCCGTTTTTTTATTCCGTCATTTGTTAACACATGCTGTAGAAATATTTCCTCGAAATTAAGGGATTGGTTTGGGTCTTCGTTCTGATGCCTTCTGTTGTGGTTTGAAGGAAAATGGCCTGGGCTGGGGTTGGGGGTTGGGGGTGGGGCTGGTGGAGGGACAATGGGGGGCAGCTGGAATTGACATTTGAAGTATGCATGTTTCTAATTTAAGTTTAAAAAATCCAAAAAAAAAAAAAAGAAAGAAAGAAAATGGCCCCCAAACAGAGTGACACTACTGGGAGCTGTGGCCTTGTTGGAGTAGATGTGATCTTGTTGGAGGACGTGTGTCACAGTGGAGGTGGGCATAGAGGTCTCATACACACTCACGCCGTGCCCAGTAAGACAGACACTTCCTGTTGCCCGTGAGACAAGATGAAAGAACTCTCAGCTCCTTCTCCAGCACTGTCTGCTTGTATGCCGTCCTGCTCCCTGCCATGGAGATGACAAGCCAAACCTCAGAACTATAAGGGAGACACCACAATTAAATGCTTTTCTTTAAAAAAATTATTTATTTACCGACAGCCTCCAAAACAATACAGAGAAACCCTGTCTCATAAAACCAAAAAAAATTATTTATTTATAATGTATACGATGTTCTGTCTGCATGCATCCCTGCAGGCCAGGAGAGGGCACCGGATCTTATAGATGGTTGTGAGCCACCGCGTGGTTGCTGGGAATTGAGCTCAGGACCCCTGGAAAAACAACCAGCCCTCTGAGCCATCTCTCCAGCCCTAAATGTTTTTCTTCAAAGGAGTTGTCGTCGTCATGGTGTCTCTTCACAGTGATAGAAACCTAAGACACCATCCTTCATCTAAGCCTTCATGGCCGGCCCCGTATTACACCTGCTGTGAGTCAGCGCTGGTGCCAGCTGCTCCCCTCTGGTTCTTACAGTCCGCACAGCAACCTGGTAGAGAGACACGTATGTAAGCACACACATCTCTGGGTGCCATCTCAGCTGCATTACCGTTTGTTCTGCTTTCTCTGTCTCTCGTTTCATTTGTCTTCTTGTCTAAGATAGCACTTGTGAAAGCCCGAGTGGCCTCAGACACTTTGCTCAGCTGTAGGCTGACAGGGGACAGTAGAGGAAGCCCCCCCTCCCCGGATAGTTCTCACTCTGAGGGTCTGGAAACCACAAACCCAGGGTCTCTGAGTCTTCTGCTGGAGGGTTGCCTGAAACAAAGAGCCCTAATGTAGGGTCACATGAGACAGACAGTCCTGATGGTGGCTCACCTGGGACAGAGGGTCACTTGGGATAAGGATCACCATCATTCACAGATGACCATTCTGTCACATCGTCATGCCCTGGGAATCCTTGAGGCCCTGGACAACTTTAACTAAAGGGCGTGGCCTTAAGCAGATGCGTCTCTCCTATTGGCCAGAGCCTTCTGTATAACTTCCTTTTTGTTGCTTGTCTCTCTGGAGGCATTGATGGCCTTGGGATGGCAGGATAAAGCCTTCGAAAGCCAGCTGTGGCTGTGTGAGCGGCCCTATGCAGGAGGTTGCACAGGTGACGACGCGTGCTCCTAACCAGTACGTAACAACGGTCTGACTTTCCCCAGACTTATCATTTAGATCAATTTAACTAATCTGTCCCAATTTGTCCCCTGAGTCTTCAGGTCTCCGTTTACATAGGGGGAGAATATCCACGTCTGGAGTGCGAAATCAAGAACAAGCAATAATGACCCAAGGGACCAGGTGGACTTGGCCCAGACGGCTGCCTCTGAAAGACGCTCTCATTACACCGTCACCCGTGAGCAGCCCAGAGGTGTAATTGGCACATTTGGCTGCACATTTCTGGGGCCCTTCCTAATATCTCCTCTGATGTGATAAAATTAGCTGCAACCACAAAGGAGAAATGAGCAGACTTTTTAAGCAAATGCGCAGAGAAAGCCCCTATTTGTCTGGATCAGTTGAAAGCGGTCCCATCTGAAGTCAGGGTGCACACTGGGTGACCTCTCGAGGCGGCATCCAGACTTAAGATGTTAGATTGTCTCCCTTTAGATTGGAAGGAAAAAAAAAAAAAGAAAGAAAAGAAACAAAGACATGGGCACTTCAGAGTGAATCGGGCACAAAGGAAGTCGGAGCCAGGGATGGGTAGGGGGGAGAACAGAGCTGTGCGCTCTGACCCGTGGGGGCTAAGGTGCCCAGGATGGGAGGGACGCGCACATGGATTGTGGTCCACAAGGGGCCCCATTTTATGCCACGAATCTCACCTTCCTCATCTCTACCCGGGCACCACCCGAGAGGCTCACCCCGGCTTCGCCCGTGATTCTTCACTGCCTCATCAGGGAGGAAGTGGCCGCCTGGGGGTCCCTCGTGGCGCGAGGGAGAGAGACCCCAGTTTCACCCTCAGTCACACTCACTAAGCTGCACCGGACAGTGGGGCCAAGGGAAGACGATGCTAGCTTGCGTTTCCTTCCTCACCAAAGAAAAGTCCCAGGGGCCTACAGAAATGAACTAAATTGAGGCCCCTGGGAGTGGCCTGGACTGGCTCTCCACCTGACGTGGCTGGTGGAAGCGCAGACCTCCTTTCGCCTGCTGGGATAGGTCTTGCTCTGACGGAGGCTGCTGTGGAAGGAGGTCCGGCAAGACCGCAGAGGACCCCAGGAATGTCCCGGAAGTGAGCGCTGATCAAGTCACCGCACAGGGAGGTGAGGCCGAGGTTACACTTGACTGCATCACACTTGACCGGTACACGAGCCACCACCGGAGGGGCAGATGGCGGAGGGGAGGACCACGCGGAGCTCACAGTTAATCAGCGTCCAGTGAAAGACCTGCCCGCTCCTGGGGGGGGGGGGTCCCTACCGCATTCTCAGCCTCCGCTGATCACCAGTCAGGGAGCTGGCCTTCAGAACCCCCAGATACCGTGCTGTTCACAGTGGGATGCCTGCGTGGTGGTCGTCTCAACTTCTGAGCTCCAGCTTCCTCACCGGGAAAACAGCTGAAAACAAAACTCAGTAGGGTTAGGAGCTTGTCACCAAGCCCAGTGACCTGTGCTCCATATCTCTAGCCCACAGGGTGGGAGGGGAGAACCAGCCACCGAAGCAATACCGGGACGTGTATGTGTGCGCACATACATACCAAGACTAAACACAGAACAGGCGAGGGCAGGTTGCACAGGGACACAGAGGACCAACAGGCGGCTTCCTGGAGCAGGCCAGTGACCTCGGCCTGCTGATGGCTGAGCTTTCTCGGGCTCCGTCCACGAAGGGCTCTCCGGGTACCGGGAAGTCTTTGTTCATGGAAGTCACCTGCTCCCCTGGGCTCCAGGAGACAGCAAACATGAAGGAGGAAAACACTTGGTGAGGCATGCTGACAGGCAGCTTACAAAGCAACCCAATTAACTGTTCCCATGCTGGTTACTCTTCCAGTTGTAATCTAAACGTGTATGTGATCCTGACTCATCTGGAGCTAAGTAAAAGATACTGGGACATGGACTCTCTCATGGGAGGCAAGCTGGAAACGAGAACCGGTTTGTCCAACAGAAGCTAGCCCTGGCAAGTCGCATAGAGGGGCTGTGGAAAGGGACTGCATTCCCCAGCCCCGTAGCCTTTCCCCCTGCAGTCTATGGAACCCCGTCTACCACTCGGAGGGCCCCTTGGAGGGCTGCAGCCTTATGCAAAGTTGACTTTCCTGGCCGGCTGTTGATATCAGCAGCCGTCCTGAATTGCTGTTTGGGAGACTGAGCATGGTGAGTAGTGACCGTGATTCTGGTTAAGTGTTCTCTCTCACATTTGCAGGGGGTAAGTCAAGCGGGGCAGTCTGTCTGTCACAGAAGTGGGATGTATTCTCTGGGTCCTACAGCGAACTCACAGGGATTGGACCCTGGGTTTGGCAGTGGAGAGATGTCCTGAAGACTAAAGGTCATCAAGAATGAGACTTCCTGGGGCAGCAACCGTGCCCAAACATGTCTGAAGTCCTTGAGCCTTTGTAGGGATCAGCACTCAGCAGATGCCTGCAGGGCTGCTTCAACTAGAACTCTCTCAGGATTCCCACGGTGGGTGTGTTGTGCTGGCCATGCCCAAGCCTTGAAATTCCAGTTCCTGGGGCCATCAAAATGACTCAGTGGGTAAAGGAGCTTGCCACCAAGCCTGACGACCCGAGTTCAGTCCTCGGGACTCAACGTGGTGGAAGGAGAGAGCCGAATCTCAGACACACCCACATCCTAAGTGATAAATGCATGAGCAGATGCATTTTTTATTTCATATATTTATTTATTTTTTTTTTGGTTTTTCGAGACAGGGTTTCTCTGTGGCTTTGGAGGCTGTCCTGGAACTCACTTTGTAGACCAGGCTGGCCTCGAACTCAGAGAGATCCGCCTGCCTCTGCCTCCCGAGTGCTGGGATTAAAGGCGTGCGCCACCAACGCCCGGCTTCATATATTTTATTTTTTTAAATGAGAACAAGTATATGTGTTCATGCATGCGGATGCAGGTGTCTGTGGAGACCAGAAGAGGGTGTTGGATTATTTGGGGTCACAGGAGGCTGTGAGCTACCTGTTGTGGGTAGTGTTCCTAATGAAGCAAACCATAAAGCTGTTCACGTTATGAATAGTGAGAAGGTGACCCAGGAACACCCCTGCCTCCAAGTCAATCTTTGAGTCTGACGGGGGTTGTTTACTTTTAAAGGGCAAGTGGCCACCCAGTTAAGCTGTCCTGGTCTACACGTGGTCCAGCCCATAACTGTTCCCGTCGTTGTCTGGGCTCCACTCTCTTGCAAGGGGACATGACAAGGTGCCAGCCTGTGTGGGCTCTTTCCAGGAGACAAGTTCCCTCTCTGGTTGGCATCAGGCGTCAGCCATTTCCTTCTCCCAGCATGAGACACCTGGAGGAATCCTAATCTCTTTGTCTCATCGGTCTCAGAGCCTACGGGTGGGCACAGGTGTCTGTATTATCTTCACTCTTGCCGGAACAGCGTGAGTGAGGCTGCTCATCCCTTGGCTAGGAGCTGGAAACCTGCTGATCTTTCTTTCTTTTTTTTTTTGGTTTTTATGAGACAGGGTTTCTCTGTATTGTTTTGGAGGTTGTCAGTCCAGCCTGGCCTCGAACTCACAGAGATCCGCCTGCTTCTGCCTCCCGAGTGCTGGGATTAAAGGCGTGTGCCACCACCGCCCGGCCCTGCTAATCTTTCTGCTGGTGGTTTTTCCTTGGCATGGTGAGGATGAGGCTGGCCTGGTGCTGGACCACTGTGGTGGGGGTTATTTGGCTTGCTGGACCCACCGTGTTTTCGCCGCCGTGTGACTCCTGTTCCCCAGGCTTCCTGGCAACCATAGTGAAATCTGGAATCCTCATTCCGAGGTTCTTCTTTTCTCTGCTCCCCTCCTAGTCCCTCCCCATGGCCCCTCATCACGTCCTCCCCTGGGTCCTGCCTCAGGCCCTTGGTTCCTCCACCCATGTGGTTATGAGGGTCTTCATTTCCCTGGGGGTCTCAGCTGAGGGTAGATCTTGGTCAAGAGACCCTGGACATCCTGGTGGGCCACTGGGGAAGGCCAGGGAGGTGTGAGGGTTCCTGCCTACCCTCCTCTGGCCCTTGAGGTCTGGTTTGAGGGGTGACACCAGACACTGGCTTCTCCTCAGCAGGCATCTCCCTGGTACCATAGGCATCTGTCCATGGTGTCAGCATCCCTGTGACCTTCACTGTGGCTGGGAAGGACACTTGGACTTTTGGGGTCATTTGCTTTAGGGAGAAGGCTGGATGGCCATTTGCGCCCCATGCACAGGGAGGGAGCTTGGTGACAGGAAGGAAGGAATGGAGGATGAAGAGAGAGGATCTAATGCTGCTGGCTCTCACTAGCTATTTTTTTTTCTTTATAGAATCTATTATCCTCTATTTATAGGCTTATAGTTACTGCACAGAATTTTGCTGGTAATGAAGTTATATAGAATTCTGAAACCTGCTTATAAAGGCCACTGTGTGTGTTTATAATTCTCCCGATGCTAAAAGGGTGGCTTTTACGGGAAATTTAGAAAATACATTTTATGTAATAAAAATAAGAATCACCCGTAATAATTTTTTTTAAACATTTTCACTCACCTCATTTAAGATGGGAGGATGTTTGCATTGCTGACCTCTGGTGCGGTTTTTAAAATATATATATATATATATATATACATATATATATATATATGTAGCAAAGTATGCACCATCTCTACCCACTTTAACTGAGGCAGGATGACGTGAGGACAGCCACACTGCTGTTCCAGTGATTTCTCACCCCCCCACACACCCTGAGGCTTTTTCATCTCATTAGAGCACAGATCAGCTTCCATGGAGGGCAGGGGATACATGTCTCCCAGCTGACTTGTGACTGGCCACAGCATGGCATGACTGGAGGGTCTTCTAGAGGCCACTGATGTGGAAGAGGCTGCCTCCCTTTGATCTCTCCATGCTCCAAAGGCCTGGCCTCAGGCTTAGCTACTGTTTGCCTGTTTTTGCAGCCCCTACCCCGTGTCTTCCCAGCAAAGCAGGTGGCCCCTGTGGTGACCAGAGGTGACCACGAGAGAGCAGGCTGAGAGTTTGATCTGGTTGAAACGTGGCTGGTTAAAAAACAACAGTGAGGATTTTACAGTGAACTTTCACAAGAATTTCAGGCCGTTGGAGGACTGGGGCCCTGCCTATCCTACTCCAGCTGTCCAGGGCTGGGTTGAGAAGTAGGCATGAGACACCAGCTTTTCCTGTGAGTGGCTGTGGTGGTTTGAGAGAAAAAAATGACCCCCCCAAAGGGAGTGGCACTATCAGGAGGTGTGGCCTTGTGGAGTAGGTGTGGCCTTGGAGGAATCGTGTCACCGTGGAGGTGGGCTTTGAGCTCTCCTATATGCTCAAGGTACCAACCAGCATCTCAGTCCCCTTCCTGCTGCCCGCAAGTTGTAGCGGCCGCAGCTCCAGCACCGTGTCTGCCTTCACGCCTCTGCGCCCCGCCATGATGATACTGGACTGAACCTCTGAAACTGTTAAGTGAACCCTAATTAAACGCTTCCCCTTATAGAGCTGCTGTGGTCTCTGCGTCTCTTCACAGCAACAGGAACCCTAGCTAAGCCTGCGGCCCATCCTCTGCTCACAGAGCCGCGTGTCCCCTCTCTGCATTCTTGATCTTCCTTCCTAAGGGAAGGCAGAGAAAGAGTCCCGGTTTTAGGACTGCCACGTTGCACCACGGACACACACTCCTGACACCTTTAGGGGTCCCGGGAGGCCTTTCTGAGGAGATGGCATTCACACCCTAACCACAAGAAGCGGGCAGCAGGATGGAAGCCTGAGGGAGCCACAGCTGGAATGGGCGAGGGGTGGAGAGTGGAGAGAACGGATGCCAATGTTGGGGTCAGGGTCCAAGTGTCACCTGCTGGACCATATCCCTGGAACACCAGGCTGCATCTCCATCCAGGATGGCCTAAAGGGGCCCGGCAAGGTGGTGTGCTCGGTCAGGCAGCGGATGCCACCGGAGGCTGGCCTGGCCCCAGGCTCACCTTGGTGCTCTGACCGGGGTGGCTTCCTGTGGTGTAGGTGGAGAGTAATGTCTGCCTCGGTGCTGCCACCATGCTGAGCAGAGCCGTGGGAGCCCTTGGCCCTTTCACCTGGGAGGACACACACGCTGTATGTCTCCTTTGGAATCTCCCTTCTCTTGCTTGATGCGAAGCCTTCCAGCACCATCTATTCTCTTCAAGTGGCGCAGCTCAATTTTTTTTCTCTCTGTCTCAGTAATACTCCATGGTGTATATTTAACTTTTTTGCTTTACCCATTCCTCTGTACCTAAGCAACTCAGCTGAGTCTGTGACTCGGTTCCGGTGAGCAGAGTCTGCAGGTGTCTCCGCTGGCTGTCCATTGCAGACCATGGGCACAGACCACAGGCATAGGCGAGCCAAGCAGGAACCATGGACCCACAGGCTGGACACACAGACACAGCAGACTTCCCATCAGGGTCTGGAAATGAAGAAAGTGGCGTATCGATCTCTGTCTTTTGTCCATGCAAGTCTCGAAGCCATACCCCTCCACTCTACTCCATATAGAGCACAACAGACACACTGGCCACAGGAGTGGTGTAGTGGCATCTTATCTTGCCAGTGAACTTGTAGTAGTGGCCACACCCTTTGGGTATAGTTTCAGGTACAGACGTGGCCCATTAAGGTAGAGGAGGGGTTTTGTGCCTCAGCTCACTAGTTGATCCTTGCAAGACAGCCAGGTGGCAAGTAGAAAATGCTCTCAGGAGTCTGAGGCCAGGTCTTGCTGCCCTTACCCTACCTCAAAGGCCTTCCAGTCAGCAAACCCCTGCCCTTGGTGTCAGGGAGCTAACTTGCCATCTGATGAGGAACAGGGCTGGAGGGGAGCTTGCTGGGTCTCAGGAAGTCAACTGGAAACTGAGGGCTTCCTGGAGACCACAGGTTTTCCTAGTTCCCAAGCCCCTTGCAACACTGAGCATGTGGTGTGAGAAGATGTGAGTGGCTCCCAAGGGTTTGAGAGTCAGTCACAAATCCATCGCTGCTGAGGCGGCCATGGTGGGACCAACACTGCCGCTCCACTTTCTCGTGACAGGAGCCATCACAATCGTGGCTGCAGGTTTCTCCACCTTGCCATGCCCCCTTGGTGTGAGCTCTGAGGGTCCTGGAGGATGGCCACGGCCAGCGGATGGACTATGAGCTACTCGGTAGATGCAGCCCATGCTGCTAACAGGCATTGCTGTGCCGGCAGCCAAGGGTTATTTATAGGAGCTGGACCTGTCATCAACAAGGCCAGAGTAGAAAGCCTCTTGGTTGTCAGTCCTTCTGTTATCCCCGGGAGACTGGTGAGGGAGGTGTGCTGTGGAATATTATTTTAGGATGTGTCACATTTGTTGAATGATGCAAAGATGTGTTGCGTTCTTTTATGTTGCACTTGTTTAACCCTGTGAAGCTGTGTTGCTTTGCCTGCCTGAAACACCCAGTTGGTCAAATGAAGAGTTGAACGAACAGCCAGTAGCTAGGCAGGAGGGAGAAACAGGCAGGCCTGACAGGCAGAGAGAATAAATAGGAGGAGAAACCTCAGAAAGTGGGGTGGAGGAGAGTGGGGGTGTGGGGTTGGGGGAGAGGAGAGGTAGGAGGAGGGGAGGAGTGAGGAAAAGAGAAGGAGAAGAGGATGCCTAGGGTTATCCATCCAGCCACCTAGCCATCCACGGAGTAAGATGGAAAGCAAGATATACAGAATAAAGAGAGGTTTAAAAAAAAGTCCAGAGGCAAAATGTAGTTAAAGGGAAATGGGATAATTTAAGTTAGAAAAGCTGTCTAGAAACAAGCCAAGCTAAGGCCAGGCATTCATAAGTAAGGTCAAGTCTCTGTGTGTTTATTTTGGGAGCTGGGTGGTAGCTATAGAGTTAAAATAATAAGACCACCTACAGAGGTGTAGAATGCCAACAGGGTCAAGTACATCCGAATGGATGCGAGGCTGGCAGTGTGCTTCAGGGATGGGGGTTCAAGGGGCTTCCTCTCCAGATGCCCCTTAGGAAGGAATTTCTCAGAAGCCCCATGGCTGGAGAGAAAGCATGCCAGGTCCCCTGATCCTGGTTGTGCAGAGGGTCAGTAGCTCAGTTCCTTTTAGTGGTAATTTCGGCATGAGCTTTTGGTAGTGTTCTGGAGCCTTCTGACCTATGCTTGGTTTCCACGAGACAGGAAAGCTGTGCCTGGTGCTGTACGTCTCCTCTCCTCAGCTCGGTCTCCAGTGTGCTTCCATGATGGTATGGGTTCTCTGTTTCTTCTCAGTTCCAGCTGACATATCCTGGCCATGGTTTGTCGATGGGAGATGTTAATTCTGTATATGTTTCTCTTATTGGCTAACGAATAAAACACTGATTGGCCAGGCAGGAAGACAGGCGGGGCTAGGAGAGGAGGAGGATTCTGGGAAAGGTAGGCAGAGTGAGCCCTCTGGACAAAGTCACGATGCTGCCTGAGGAGTAACACCATGCTGGGCATTACCAGGTAAGCCACAGCCTTGTGGAAATACATAGACTGGGTTAATAATTGAGACAGAGTCAGCCAATAAGAAACCCTAGTCATCGGCTAATAGCTTCATAATTAATATAAGTCTCTGAGTGTTCATTTGGGGCTGATGAGGCTGTGGGACGAGGCAGGCAGGAAGAACCAACTGTAACAGTTGATGTTGTAGGAACAGAGTCTCGACTACCTGCTTCCCCTAGTACTTCCCAAATGATGGGGGTGGGACAGAGAGGAGACCACAACAGCGGGGTAGTGGAGCAGCTCAGAGTTTGTAAGTACAGGTGATGGGCCTGCCTTCGGGATGCCCTGACCCTGTCGGTAGCAGTAGGAGGAGGGTAACAGCTCCTCACTGTTCCTACGGACCAAACACCCAGGTGTACTAGGCATCTGGTGACCCACTGACAGCCTCAGAGACTGTTCTTGACGGCCCCTCCCTCACCGTCAGCAGCTTGTAGAGCCTAGAACCCCGAACTGCGGGGCTCTGGCATCTGATCAAAAGCTGTTCTAGCGAGGCAGGTTAAAGTGGGGGCCCCTCTGGCCACTGTCCAGCCTCGCCCCTTGAGAATGTTCTGTCCTAAGCCCTGCCTGTATAGTGGGTGACTCTCCTTGCCTCTCGTCTCAAAGGACCAGGAAGCAAGGGAGGGTTTCCCAAGGAACAGGACAGCCAGCCAGTACCACAGCCCTTGGGTCTGCAGAACCGCAAAAGGCTGTAAAAAACGACCACCAGGCTGACCAGCGGCAAAACCCTAAAAGACAAAAAGAGCAGATAAAAAAGCCAAAACAACAGAAACCAGTCAAGTACTCAGGACACGATAAGAGGTGTGGGCTGTCTCTTTAGAGAGAGCCTGGCCACGTGTCCTCCTCGGTGAGAGCATGGTCACCTGTATGGAACATCTTACTCATGGTCTCCATTTTTTCTTCTGGGCATCCCACCGGGTTCTGACTCCCAGCTCACAGACGAGAACATTACTTCTCACCTGGCTGAGTTACTCAAGATCTCAACGTGGTAAGCAGGGTCGTTGGTGTGTTCCCCTGAGACCTGGGAGACTTTCTCTAACTAGAAATTCCCCCTCTATTTGATCGCAGCAGGCATAAATTAGTCCTACTCTGTCATAATATTTCTATATCGTCGCTATGATACTTGCTGAGTCAAAGACACCGACACCAACGCTATCTCTAGCCCTGGGACCAAATGGCTCTCCCCCACTCCTGTGTGACTCCACTGGGAGCTCCTAGGATCCCCGGGAGGCCTCCTTTTGGGGGGGTGCACCCCTTTGTACTGCTCTTGCCAAGTGTAAGCCTGAGCACTGGAATCCAGGCTGTGATACTGCTGGGCAACCCCACCCAAAATCCCACTACCTTAGTTTCCTTATATTTTAGAAGAAGCTAGAATACACAAGTGGTGAAGGAAAATTGGTTTATTTATAGCTCGGCTGTGCTAGGTGTGGACAGGGAAAGGAGATATTCTTTCTCCTCCCCCCCCCCCACATCTGCCACTGTTTACAGCTTTAGGAGCCACAGACAAAGCATTTAAATGTGAGGCAGGTATCCAGGCTTCCACTGGGGGCAGGACCCTGGCTCTAAGTTGCCTCATTTCTCTGTTACAGAGGCAAGGTTTTATTCAAGCTTCAACCGAGGAAAATGGGGTCTCCCATAGCCGCCCCCACCATGTTGGAAGAGTAAAGAATCAAGTTTCGTGGGATGTAAGGCTTCCCTGTGGGCCTGGTAGAGTTCTTATCTGTAAGTCCGTTTCTCTGATGGCTGGAGCACAGCCTTCTGCACCGTGGCTGTGAAGGCGAGGTTCATCTTCAAATCCTCTCAAGCACACAGACTTCCCTGAAGGGAAGGGTTTGTTCTGAACCCCACTTTTATTGGATCCAGCCCATCCATTGTGAGGCAGCAGGTAATCCCCGAGTCCCGAGTCTCGGGAGATGGAGAGGTAAGTGCTTGGAACTCCACCCCCTTACCCGTTGCTCTTTTGACCCAGTCGGCTCCAGGTCAGGGTCTGATTCTTGGGTCCCTGAAGAGTTAGCATCAGTGTCAACTTGACAGTCATGGTTACTGCGTGGGAGACGGGCCTCCTCGGGGCATGCCGGTTGGTTGCCTTGTGTGTGTGTGTGTGTGCGTGTGTGTGTGTGTGTGTGTGTGTGTGTGTGTGTGTGGTTATCTTAGTTACCCAGTGGTTGTGACCCTTACGGGCGGGGATCCTTCCCAGAGGCAGACATGAGAAGTGACTCAGAGGCCTGTGCCTGCCCGCCTGCCCCCTGAGGGTGGCTGTGATGTCTCTAATCTTCACACTCCTGTTGCCTAGACTTCCCTTATAGGGGACAGCGCCTTGAACACTGTGAGTCGAAATGACGTCTTATCACAGTAAAAGAGAAGACACGACGGCCGTATCCCAGAGCCAGTGTTTGCTGCTGGAGTGTGACCCCACGGGACCTCACAGGCAGTTTCCAGCCAAGGATCAGGAGGTGGGCGCTGGTGACTGCCCTCAGCTCTGAACAGGGAGGGACAAAGCAATTCTGAGTGCAGACTTTGGAGTCGGGCAGGGACAGGTTTGCTTCCTGCCTCCCTGGCTGATGAGTGGAGGCCTTCCTCGGAGTCTTCTGCTGCTCATCGGTCTCCCAGGAACGACAAAGCCGCGGGTCGGTGGCCTTCAGCGGACTCTGGTGGCTCAGATGCTCCGGACAGTGTGGATATTGTTTCTATTATTCTTACCGTGGTTACTTTTATTAAGAACTTGCTGTTCTGCCAATGTCCTCTCCCATCCCCCTGGCCTAGGAGGAGTAGCCCTTCAGCAAGCGCTATTCAAGGGATGCAGGCTCCCATTCTCCTCTGTTCACTTTCAATTGCCTTTTAATGGGGGAGAGATAAAGTGAAATTACAGCCTTGGGTAGCAGCCTGCCTGGGCAGCTGGAACGCTCTGGCCCTGTATCATATACTATAGCTGTGTTTATGGTCCCCAGAGCAAAGACAGGGCGCAAATCAGACCCTTTATTGCTTCTGCAAGCTCAGCGAGGAGAGCAATCCAACGGGGAGAGAGGCAGAGGCCCTGGCTATAGCATAACACTTTGCTCCCGGGGACTCTGCGGATCAGAGTGGGCTCTCCAGTGACATTGGCTCACACAAACAATAAATGACGGCCAACCTGTGAACTATTGGTCTCTCTTTCTCTCTGCTATATCTCTATCTGTCCTGCCCAATCAATCAGCCTGTGTGTAAGTTTGGAAGGGTCTTTAACCAACAATCTATAAAAAATAAAATGCAACTTGCAAATCAAACAAGCAAATGGAAGTGGCTGGGAACACACGAAGAAGCTAGGGCTTTCTCACTGTCTGCAGCACGGAGAGAGGGTTTCCTCATTTGCTTTTCAGGGACACTTTAAAGTGTCATAAAACCCAACAGCTATGCCATATCGGCATTGGCCTCGGTGAGTGACTCCCCCGGGAGACTCTCTGAGTACTGGTCGTCGGCAGCCTCTGAGTTCCTTCCGTTCACATCTCCTAGGGATATTGAGATTTGAACCCGATGAGATTTCGGCCGGTGCCGTTGTGAGACTTTTTTGCTGTGAGACTCTCAATCCCAGACAGAGGGCGCCTCCAAATTAAAGGAGGCTTTCTGTCCATGCCCTGCCCAGCTGGGGTTTCCTGGGCTTTGTTACAGATGTGTGTGTGTGTGTGTGTGTGTGTGTGTGAGAGAGAGAGAGAGAGAGAGAGAGAGAGAGAGAGAGAGAGAGAGAGAGAGACAGAGAGAGACAGAGAGAGAGAGAGAGAGAGAGAGAGAGAGAGAGAGGGAGAGAGAGACAGAGAGACACAGAGAGAGAGAGAGACACAGAGAGAGAGAGAGAGAGAGAGAGAGAGAGAGAGAGAGAGAGAGAGAGAGAGAGAGAGAGAGAGAGAGAGAGAGACTTCCTTTGGATCACTGCACTATGGGAGAGAGTTCTAGGGCACGGATGATCAGAAGAGACTCCCGGGCGGTATACTAGTGTCCATGCTACTGCGGTCCCACCTGAGTCTGCTGTTTACTTTTCATACAGCCTAGGTCAGTGGGGGGGGGGGCGGCTCATGATCATTCCACCTCCTTCCACAAGGGAAGGTTAATAGGCCAGGTCTCATGAGGGGCTCCAGTGGGTGATTGTAGCTTCACTTCTCTGAGGGTCTTATCCAGTTGGGAGGACACAGCTGCATAACATATAAACCCGCAACAGGTTTGACCTAAACCTCATCAGTTCAACTGCAAATAGCCATTACATCAAATACCATATTCTGTCACATAATTACATATTACAAATACCATATTCCATTACATATGTCCTATAACATATATCTTATTAGTATCATGTGTATGTATTCATTAAACGTGTAATGTGTACCTAACATTATATATATTGTGTCCCATAACCCATGGCTCTTAATGCCTCACGAACAGGGAATCATGATTCTGAATCAGGCCCAATAAAAGTATTTCTATCAAGACACCCAGTAAGCAGGAGTTGCATGAGGCTACCACCCACATACCATGGCTGGACATTTCACAACAAACTTCTTTTTTTATATAAGTACAAGAAAAGCCCTCCAAAATGATGATGAGGTGCGCATAATGACAGTGTTATCAGTATTGCTGCTGCCGCCAGTGTCACACTTTGCACAACTCACAGGGCTGTCATGGCACCAGGTTCACAGAGGCGTGTTAGCCCGGCACCACTGGAGGTGTGTGCAGGGCTGCAATGGCTACAGGGTCCTTTCCAGTTGCATATGCATCGTCTAATGTGGCTAGAGTCTCATGTGTTCCCTCATCTACTCAAATGTTGTGGTTGCAACTAAGACCTTTTGATGCTGTTGGGTTTCCCTGGGCAGACCAAACCCTTTGTGCCTGGCTTCTATTATTTGATCTCCTCCTTTCTGCACAAGGAGCCTCCATTTTATCTTGTAGGCGTATCTCCACTCGGGTGCATACGGACACACTGAGCCAGGCTACGTGATCTAGCACCCCCATGTCCGGGTCTAGGCTGGACTCCTTACCTGAGACAGTCCAACAGGGCAAGCCAGAATGTGGGCGCCGGCTTCCTGCCTGACGAGTTTATGTGGCTGGCAAGGGGCTGGCTCTTGGCTTCTTCTGAGAAGAGAGGACCTGAAATGACACCATCTAGGGCTATGAAACTGGGGAAGAGGCTATCACTCCCCAGGGGCCAAGTATGAACCCAAGTCTAGCCAAGACTGGATTTTTCATCTGTGGGACCCTATGAACCCCCTTTTCTTGTCCTCTTTTCTGAAACCCATTTGAGTCGAGCCTTTGTGATCAGCAGCTCAGAGTCCTAATGTAACTACTCACCTCCGTGCAAATCTCCCTGGCTCTGGATTTCCAGACTCGGAGCTGGGGGAGTCTGAGACATAAGCACCTGGGCTTAAATGCCGGAGTCCAGCTCCGTGTGAGCCGCAGGGCTCTCAGCAAGTCATTGCTCCACTTAACCGGCATAAGTCAACAGAATTGAACTAGGGCTTACACAAAATGCTGCCACATTAAGTCCTGTGTCAACAGGAGCTGCAGCTAATGGTGGTGGTGGTGGGGGAGCTGAAGTAAACTAAGTTACCGTGGCAGCTGCAGAGTTGTTCTGGGTGGAAAGATGACCTTGAATGGCTCTGTCTGGAGGATTCCAAGGCTAGAGTGGCAGCCAAAAAACAAAGGTTTAGTCCATACTCACACCACAGAGTAGACCCTAATACTCTTAATACTCTGCCAAGCCTACAGCCAATCTTGTTCCACACAGAGGCCAGCACACAGAGTATAGAGACCCACATACTTCCCAGCACTGAGAGGATCAAAGTGCCCGGAGCCCATCTTGCCTTCGCCGCACTGCTGGATAAGTTTAGAAGATCAAACTTGGAGAAAGAATTCACCCATCAAGCTGTCGTCCTCACTCAGCTGTCCCACGGCCTGGCAGCCTAGCTGTGAAACGTCTGCTTAATATTCCATTTGTAGGAGGATGTGCAGCTCGGATTCATGCTCACCCAGCCGCTTGTCAGGAGCAACCTGAAGTGAATAACAAAGGAAGCCAGCAAGAGCCACCAATCAAATGTCCTACACTGTCACCTGCCAGAAGCCGCTTGGCGGAGAGCACCCCACGCCGCACCCCATGCAGGGCTTTCTCTGAGCTGCTAAGATGCCCACCGGTAGTCTACACTCTGCCCTGGTGATATCGTTCATTCTCAGCTCTAGGACTGAGGCCAGACAGCGGGGGGGCAGTCGCCTGTGAACACCAGGCAGGTGCGTCGGATCGCACGGACCGCCAGCCTCAGCTGAACTGTAAGATGAGAGCTACGTACCCATCACCACGGAGACGCCCGCCAAAAACAAGTTGTGGAGGCCCGTTCTGCTCACCTGGAAGAGGTTCTGAGGAGAGAGGGGGGCCGTGACACCCCCGGTAGACTTCTGTGTGTCCCAAGGTGCTTGTTACCCAGCTCAAGAGCCATGACTGACTGCTACAGTGTTTGTTAATGACGGGTAACCGAAAGCCCACGTCATACGGCAGGGTACCGTGCAGCCTGGCCTCTGCAGAGCAAAGAGGCAGGAGCCAGCCATCGTCGGCCGCTTCGGTTTCCTTGGTGTGTGTCGTCACCTGTGAGTGGTACACAGGTGTATGTAAATGACATACAGCTCATCCCCAGACACTGGCGACCTTGTAAGGCATCTCCCTGGTCACCGGGCATCACTCTCAAACAGCAAGGCTCAGAGGCAGTGTCCCGGGGACTGACACAAGGCGTGAGCGACACTGTCACTGCAGAATTTTGCTGCCTACCCTTGCCCTACTTACACACAGCCCCCAGCGTCACTGTCTCCAGCAGAGTGGAGCGTTTGCTGCCATGGATGGGCCTATGTCAAGTCACTACCAGGACTAGGAGTCCAGAGTTTGTACACGGCACTGTCAAGGTCTAATTCCGGAGGTTAGAACGAAAGCACCATAATGTGTGGCTTCTGGTGTGACACAAGGAGCCTCTGTTGTCATGAACACCCTCTGCTCCTCCCTCCCCAAACCCACCCCTCCCAGGCTTTGCCTTCTCCCTGCTTAGCCTTTTCTGGGCAGTGACAGATCTGGAAGCCCATTGCAGCAGCCTTCTGCCAGGCCTTGGCCACCCAGTCACGTGTCCTTTTGTCTTCTGTCATCTTACTCAGTTTATCTACTGTGGAGGTCAGACGTGTTTGAGGGGCGTGAATGTCCACTTTGCGTTGCATTTTCAGATGCGGTTTTCCTGTCCCCCATGCTTCAGGGTGTGTGGCAGCTGTGCGGCCTGTTTCCCCGCAGCTGAAGCAGCCCCAGAGTCCCAGGAGCCTTAAGACCAGGAAGTAACCAACCTCCAAGGAACAGATCACACACATAGGCCTCTCCTTTCCCTTTTGCTACACCGGACCAAGTAGGAACCACCTGCAACTCCCATACCCTCTTCCTCTGCTGGTCACAGTTCTAAAAATTAAAGTCTAAAGTGTGTCTTTGTTTCTTTTTAGAAACACAGGGCCGTGTGTGTGTGTGTGTGTGTGTGTGTGTGCAAGTGCGTGTGCGTGCTCACCTGTGTGCGTGCATGTATATGCTTGCATATACGTGTATGCATGCATGTGTGTGAGTGCACCTGTGTGCGTGCATGTGTGTGTGCATGTGTGCATATGCACACATGCATGTGTGTATGTGCATGCACGTGTGTGTGTAAGCATATCTGAATGTGTAAAAGTACATGTGTGTGATGTATGTGTGGGGGCCCAAGGTTAATGGTCCAAATCGTCCCCCTACTCTCTCACATTATTCTTTGAGGCAGGAGCTCTCCATCAAACCCAGAGCGCACAGATGTGGCTGTCTCCCTAGGGAGCTTGCTCTGCCCGCTGAGGCTGGGATTACAGGCAGGGCCACCAGGCCTACCTGCCATTCACGTGGGTCCGGGGATCTGAACTCTGTCCCTGTCTGTGTGGTCACAGCTGTCACCGCTGAGCTGAGCCACCTCCTTGGTGATGCCTCTAATGGCGAGGGTTAGGAATTTCTCCTGAGCAGGCCGGGGGAAGGACTTCCTCACCCCAAGGTCACAGACAGGTTTCTGGTGGAAACAGGGAAGGCTCTGTGGGTGCGCTGAAAGCTGTGTCAGAGGCATCCGGTCGGCCACCTGGACCGCCACAGTGAGGCACGAGTCCCCAGGTCGTCAGCAATTTACTTTTCAGGAAAGATACAAAGCCCATTTTGCTTTCCCGTTTTTCCTTTAAGAAAGAAAGGGTGTTGCTCCTCGGACCAGGGCTTAGCAACGCATTAGGAGCTGGTTGACTTTAGAAGATTCATGCCTGCTTTCTGAGCACACACTTGAATTAATTTGAATTGACAGTGGCAAACAGTTGGAAGGGCATTGAAACATGAGTTGGGCTTTGGGGAACCCTGGGTATCTCTTTGTGTGGCCCCGGGAGCTGCATGCCTTCCTTGGAATCTGGGGTTTGGGGACTCTGGCTTCCAGGAAGAGAGGTTTCTCGGCTCTGGAATGTGCCCTGGTGCTGTGCAAACAGCTAGAATTTGGGGGTAATTTTCCCTAATGACAGAGCTGACTACGGGCTCAGTTCTCTTTAACCACTAAACTGGTACCACCAGCTACACAGTCTTGGGCAAGACGCACTGGAAGAATGCAGAGGTTGGAAGAAAGGGGAGGAAGTGAGCCCTGGCCTCAGCCATCAGGTGCACTTCAGAAAGGGGCCACCCGTGGGGAACAATGCTGCCACCAGTGGCTTCTCGCCTTCTTAGTTAAATTTAACTCGTAAAGGCTGGGAGGAGCTTGCGCTTAATTCTGCATAGCAGCAGCAGTTTGGCGCTTTAGAAGATCAAGGCCTTGACTTCTCCCAGGGGACATGGTGCGGCAGCCCAGCTCACAGAAACTCCCGTGCGCATCAAGAGAGCACCACAACTTTTCGCTCCAGAAGAAGTTTATACATGTTCACAGGTGGTTGAAAAAAATTGCTCTGAAATGGTTTCCTACACTGTGGGATGAACTAGTCCGTGCCTTGTCAAGGTCAAAGGGCTTCTGCTGGCTTCTTGCAGACCCAAATAAAATTTCTTTGAAAGGAGTTCCTTGAAGTAAACTCTGTGATTTTGTAGAGCCCTGATGGCAGGGAGGGGAGAGGAAAGAACCAGCGCTGACTGCAACCATGTGTAAGGATGTTTCATGTGACCCACAGCAGGGCTCTCAAGGGGAAAGCTTAGAGTGTCCTGGGATGGCTCCAGTGTTGACTGGAGACGCCAGAGGCTACGGTGAAAGTCCTCAGTGTCTGGATAGACCCTAGGGACTCGTGTATGCTAGGCAGCTGCATCGCCACCAAGCTATATCTCTAGCCCCATGTCATCATCTAGAACGTGCAGGCAGGGCGGGGGTGTACACACCATGTGTTTACACATCCACTAGGGGCAGGGGAGTTGGAATCTAGGCACTGAGTGTCTACACCTATGACCAGTACCCAGAAGTGGATCCTGGGCAAGCCATGTCATTTTTTTTTCCTGTGCGTCTCATAGTTTCAGTGGGCACTAGCCCTGGTTCCTGGTGAGAAGCCATCCAGGGACTGGCTCAGGACCTGGCGCAGCGTGAGCACTGGTGACAGCAGCTCTGATCCCTGCTGCTCCACACAAGGACTCACAGATGCTAAAGAAAGTCCAAGAACAAATTTAAAGAGAAATGTGTGGTTTGTCTTAAAGGAGCTGGGATGGGGGGGGTGGTTCACTCCGCAGCTGCAGGACACAGCACACGGACCACAGCCAGCGTGAGTGACACAGTCGCCTGCTAAGGCTGCACATCCAGCGATGCTGCTCAGAGAGCAGCAGGGGCTGGGAGGATGCATGAGGCTCTGGAAGATGCAGGGAGCCTGCTGAAGGAGCGGTAGATAGCAGGAGTAAAATGGTAATTATTTGCTGTGTGAAGATCAAACAAGGGTAACGATGCCCCGGAACTAGAATTCTCTTTCTAAATTTTATTTTAATTGCGTGTGTGTACGTGCGTGTGGAGGTGGCCAAGGACGCTAACTAAGGGCGTTGGATCCCTTTCAGCTGTATTGATAGATGGGTTTGTGCTATCTTAAGTGTGCACTGGGAACTGAACCCAGGTCTTCTGCTTGACCCATATGTCTACATTTTCTCTCTTTACACACACACAAACATACACACACATGCACACACATATACACAGGAACACACACATGCACATATATGCACACATGCACACACATATACACACGAACACAAACATACACACACGAATACAGACATACACACATGAACACACTCATGCACACATACAGAGAGACAGACACACACAGATAGACACACACACACACACACACATACACACATGCACTCACAGAGAGAGAGAAAGAGAGAGAGAGAGAGGGGGTGAGCAGGCTTTCTAGGACCAGCAGCCCCAAACCATGACACAGAGACTTCTTATTAGGAATGCTAGTCCTTAGCTTAGACTCATTTCTTGCTAGCTCTTATACTTAAGTTACCCTATTTCTCTTCA